CACAGACTGATCGTTTTGTGCCTTTACACATCAATGTATCGTCACGCGCCGCAGGGTTTCATTTGGTTTTGTTTGTGTATGTTTTTTTGACTCCCAAAGCCGTGATTCCCATTCACTTCCATTATAAGACTGACAGACTGCAACGGTTTGAGTTAAAAATCTTTGTTTGTGTTCTACTGAAGAAACAAAGTCACCCACATCTTGGATGCCCTGGGGGTAAGCAGATAAACATCACATTTTCATTTTTGGGTGAACTATCCCTTTAAAGCATAATGTTCTGGGTTTAATATTATGAACAGCATCTCTGACATGCTGTTGATTCCCACAGATAATCATTTCAAATCATTCCCCAGTCTTAGAAACAAACCAAAATCATGTTTGCAGTAATGCACTTACAAATATAGACAGAAGAATATGAGGAAAGACACTGCAATATGATAAAATACACATGAAAAATTAACATTATATCAAGGAATAGTTCACCCAAAAAAAGAAAATCTGCTGAAAATGTACTCTCTTCTCTGGCCATCCAAGATGTAGATGAGTTTGTTTCTTCATCAGATTTGGAGAAATGCAGCATTGCATCACTTGCTCACCAATGGATGCTCTGCAGTGAATGGGTGCCGTCACAATGAGAGTCCAAACAGCTGATAAAAACATCACAATAATCCACAAGTAATCCACAGCACTCCAGTCCATCAGTTAAAATCTGGAGAAGACAAAAGCTGAAACAAATCCATCATTACGATTGCTTCTGGATTGACTATGACTCCATAATCCATAATAACGCTTCCTCCAGTGAAAAAGTCCATCTCCTGTTGTCTCTCACACTAAAATCCAGCCACATATTTGTTTAGAGCTGTTTTGGCTTGTAAACAGTGCTTGACCACTTTTTCACTGGAGGAAGCGTTATTATGGATTATGGACTTGTATTTTAGTTGAAAACGTCTTGATGGATTTGTTTCTTACAAACATACAGCTTTTGTCTTCTCAAAAACAGAACTGGAGTGCTGTGGATTACTTGTGGATTGCTGTGATGTTTTTATCAGCTGTTTGGATTCTCATTCTGACGGCACCCATTCACTGCAGAGCATCCACTGGTGAGCAAGTGATGTAATGCTACATTTCTCCAAATCTGATGAAGAAAAAAACTAATCTACATCTTGGATGGCCTGAGAGTAAATACATTTTCACCAAAATTTGATTTATGGGTGAACAATTTCTTTAAGATAAGACGTGTGTGATAAAATTGTGCACCAACCTTGTCTGTGCAAATTTTCTCTGTCTGTCTGAAGTGAAGCAGTGTTTTTTGTTTCTGTGGTCATCAGCAGTGTGTCTCTGCTTCATCTGT